GGTAACACAGACTCAGGAAAAAGAACGACATATGTTCTCCCTCATATGTAGATCCTAGCACCAAATCCTTATAAGTGAGTATGTATCCAAACATAACTACAGGAACCAGAGTAATGAAAAGGAACCAGGGAGGTAAAGGAAAAGAAAGAATCTGAGAGAGAAGAACAGTAGAAAACAGGTGTTAACAAGAATGATGTGGATAAAAATGGGGTTATTTTTAAGGGGAGGGGGAGGGAAGGTTATACAAGGAACCTAGGGGTTAAAGGGAAAGAAGAAGCTCAAGAGAGGTGGGACCATAGGAGAAGGGTATTATTAAGGGAGAAATGGAAAAAATGGGGACACCTTAACTGGGGAAACCATGGTGGAAGGGCTAGACAATGTGAGAGATAAATAATGCCTAGCTAATTTGAGAAAACCAGAGGGAACCATATTGGGCCAACAACCTACTGACAAATTATACATACAACCAGATCAAAGAATGTAATATATGTCTAGGCAAGGTTTATATGAGAGCTTTTGGTCTTTGCCCAATCTTTATCTACATGGCACATGGTAATTAAAAGTACCAGACTGGTGGAACTGACCTTCTTGGATGTTTAACAGCCATACTATGAGGCCTATACTAATTTGGACAGAGGGATGTAAAGGGACAGTTTTTGCTCCTTTCCCTGCTAGGTCGACTAAGTTCCAGGGGAGTATGAGCATCTCTCAAGATGTCCTGTAACTGTGATAAGTCACCTGTCCTCTTGATCAAGGAGGCTGCGGAGACCCCACCAGATGGACCTGAACCAGTGTCCAGTCTACAACGAGGAGGGTCAACACAGAGGAAACATTTCCTCTATGCTTCCAAGCGAAGCCAGCCATGGTCAAGCAAGACCTTTAACTTATCTTCACATAGATGGAACTGGTAAAAGAAAGGAGCCAGGGGCTCCTCCCAAGCCCATGTGACCCCTGAGGAACAGATCCTCAAACAACCTTAAGAGTAAAAATAAATTGGTTTATCTGAGCCAACTGTAGGGTCTTAAACACCCAAAAGGAAAGTATAGCCAAAGATTAATGGGGTCAATATAATTTTTTAAGAGTCCATATATATAGCTAAAGGCTACATAACAAGCAACAATGACAGACAGATGACACCTTCCTTTGAGTTATTGGCCAAGGTGGCCCAAAAGGCTCCCAGACAGTAACCCCACATAGAACTGGGAAAATGAACAGCAGATCCCAATCTTATCTAAAGGAATATTGACAACTGATTGCTACTAGATGAGGAACAGCTGATCTTCCTAAAACAAGGATAGGCTGACTAGATTCAGCGGATGGACAAGCACTGGGGAATGGCTGTGGGTGCCTTCAACACAGTGGACAGTAACAGGGATGACAGAGTATATGGGCTCCAGTGTGGGAGCAGGGAGGCTATGGGAGTGTGCCTTTTGGGAAGTGGGTATATAGATAAATAAGATTGTGTTGGATGTTCTGTATAATATACACACAAATCAGCAAATTTTTTAAAAAAGACATATTTGAGGAGGAAGCATAAAAGTTTACTTCATGTTAAGTAGTAGAGGTGATTAACATTACCAGTGAAATCTACGACTTTATAGCCATACTCAGGTACTAAGGATCCAAGAGTAACTGACTAGTAATAATCAGATACATAGAAATTAAAGACACATGTGCAAACATCTAAGTGTTAGTAGCATTAAAAATGTAGGAAACACCATATTTTGAAATGAAATGGAGATCTTCTTTAAAGGGGAAAAACTCATTCAATTTTATGTCTTACAGAGTTTATACTGAGTTCCATATTGTATAACTGTATTAATTCAACTGTGAACCTAAAAATTTACAGCATCTTTTGAAAGAGATGTATCCTTGCTCTGGAATTTGTGACTGAATATGTTAAAGCTGTAATGACATGCTTCTAATCATGTGGTTATTAAATTTAAATTTTTTTTAAAAAACTACCAGTGACATTCCATCCCTAATAAACCACTCATAAGTCATATAAGGAGAATATGTTGATTGTTCTGTGTAATGGTCATCTAGCCAATAGACAGTGAGCATGAAGTGCTAGATTCAGATTCTCTTGGTGGGGGCTAGAGAGATGGCTCAGTGGCTAAGAGCGCATACTGAGGGAGGGGCTGGAGAGATGACTCAGCAGTTAAGAACACTGGTTGTTCTTGCATAAGACCCAGGTTTGAATCGCAGCACCCACATGGCAGCTGACAACTGTCTGTAACTCCTGTTCCAGGGGATCTGATGCCCTCTTCTGACCTCTGTGGGCATTGCACAATATGGGTACATTTCCTTACATGCAGGCAATACACATACACATAAAATAATAATTTTTTAAATTTTATTTTTTTTTTAAAAAAGAGTGCATACTTCTCTTGAGAGGACCAGAGTTCAGTTCTTAGTACCCATGTCAGGTAGTTCATAACTGTGTGTAGCTCCAGCTCCAGGGATATCCAGCATCTTTGGCCTCCTCGGGCACCCACATTCATATGTACACACACCCCCAACACACACACACGTATTCAAAAACAACAACAAAAAACCTCATGGACTGGCAAGGTGGCTTAAAAGGTAAAAGACACTTACCACAAACAAGCCTGGCAAACCTGAATTTAATTCCCAAATCCTGCATAAAGGTGGAAGGAAAAAAACCAGCTCCTGCAAGTAATCCTCTGACCTCACATGCTATCCATGGTACACAGGCGCACTCACCCATACACAGTACACATATATACACGGTACTATAATAAGCTTTAAAAAGAAAAAATCTCTTAAAAATAATGCCATGTTTTAAATGGTATTTGTTGTAGCTGTCTCGTGCTTCCCACGTAACTGAATAACTTGGCCACTGTGTTATCCAGCAGTAGATCTAGGCTGTAAGTCATTCTTTTGTTCTTTAGTTTTGTATCTGTCTCTATTCAAAGAAATAAAGGGAAGTGAAAGTAATACCAGCTTATTTACATTATTAGAATACACTAAACATTTCATAGTCCTGGAAAACTAGTGATTTCTGAAGGGGGAGCAGCAGTGAGGTTAATTGGAGAAATTCTATTAGAAATCAGTGGGTACTGTTATTTTTTAACCCCTTTGATAGAGCTGTGGACTGTTAATGATTGTAATCATCTGTGGTAAATTCTGATTTGAAGAAGAAGAATGCATAAGCTCTCCCTTAATTTCTGCAGTTTCTGTGCAATAAATTTTTTTAGCAAATGTTTGTAGCAAAAATATTTTTCTTATAACTTTAAGCTTTGAATAAATTGTACACATTATCATCAGCAGATATGTTTATTAAGATATAGATACATGTTTTAGATCTCCCCCATTCTGTTTCATTTTCAGATTAAAATTAGTAGAAGTTTACATGCAGACAGGAGTTGAGTATTATTATTTAGAGTTGAAGTGCACTTCTCTAAGCATTCTTATAAGAATCTAGATATGTCTTTTTCTGACAGATTTCACTACAGAATAGTGTTAGTGCTAATGGGCTGATCTATGATCCTACAAAACTCCCCACCTTTGTAATATTTGTTTTTTGAGACAGTGTCTTTCTAAGTAGCCCAGGCTAGCCTTAAACAGGCAGTCCTCCTTTCTCAGCTTCCTCAGTGCTGTGTTTACAGGCAGGTACCACCATACCTGGCTCGAAACAGTGTTAATTTATATATTTGGGGGTGGAAAAGTCCCTTATTTAAAAAAGAAACTACTGATACAAAACTGGTTCCCAAACGGAGGGCCAATTCTACTGCCCTTTTCTAGGAAGGACAAGCCAAGTGACACTCGTTCTGCTCTTGGAAGCCATTATGAACCAGCCCCTTCACATAACATCATTGTCAGTAACATTTCATGAGTCTTACATTTATTCCTAGATTTTAAGTTCTCATTAGAATTGTAAAATGAAACTAGATTTTTAATTAACTTACTACATTTTGCCTGTCTCCCTATTTACCTGTGCCTCAGGGGAAAGCAAAGAACCTTCTAATTTTGTTTTTATGGATCTTTTTACTAGAAGTTTTATTACTTTTTAATACATTTATCTATTGTGTGGCGTGCATACCACAGCTCACGTTCAGAGTTGTGGTAGTCTGTCCTCTCCTTCCACCATGTGGATCCCAGGGATTGACCTCAGGTTGTTAGGTTTGGTGGCAGGGCATTCACTTGCTGAACCATTGCACCAGTCTGGAAAGTTGTTTTTTTTTTTTTTAATTTTTAATCAGTTAATTTATTTTTATGTGTATGAGTTTTACCTGCGTGTTAAGTGTACCACATGCATGCAATGCCCATGCAGGCCAGAAGAAGGTGTCATATCCCCCTGGAACTGGAGTTAGACAACAGCTGTTAGCCTCCACTTGGGTTCTGGAATCAAACCCAGGTCCTCTGCAAGAGCAGCAAGTGCTCTTAACTACTAAGACATCTCTCCAGCCCCAAAAGTGTTTTGTTTTGTTTTGTTTTGTTTTGTTTTAATTAGACTAGAATAGCAAATAGTTTTTGCGCTTTGGAATAATCCATCAGAAAGGAAAGCAAATAAACTTTAATCATTCAGCAACCAAACCTTTTCATACTTACTGCAGAAAACGCAAGCCAAGAGATGACAGATGTGTGATGTTCTGTCAGACATTATCAACCACCCCTGAGAAGAAGAAATCCTAGAGTTGGTGCTTAGGAAAGAGAACACAGAAGACCTATCTGCCATGACTCATTGCTGCTGCCTTCCATGCAACTTAAAGTATTTGTGTTTTCTTGCAGTGACGTTGTATGCTTCCTGTGTTCTCCTTGGAGTATTCTTGAACAGCAGTGTACCTATATTCTTTGAGCTTTTTGTGGAAACTGTCTACCCAGTTCCAGAAGGAATTACTTGTGGAGTTGTCACTTTTTTAAGTAATATGTTCATGGGAGTGCTTTTATTTTTTCTCACATTTTATCATACAGGTAAGAATATGATTTTTTCTTTAATTTGCTGTCTAAATGTGTTTTGAGACAGACTTGTGGAACTGAAGGGTAGGGAACTTTGATAGAGAATTCCCACTAAAGCAAATTACTTATGTAAGCATTCACATGCCAGTAAAAGCAATAGCCACAGTTGTTTTTCTTGAAATGTGTTCCTCCCCACAGGCACCCTCACCCCCTAGAGCTTTGAATTAAATAAGAGCTGGGGCCATCATTTGTATTTTTAAATGTCTCTTCTCAAATGACCCCTGGCTAGTCCAATTGTCAAGTTCCCATTGAGAATCACTGGTAGATTACTTTTAAAATATACTTAGACTCTATTCTCTCAGCACAAGAGTGTAAATTAGTATATTTGTGGTTTAAAGCCTTGGGGATGAATAAGAGGAAGTCATACAAACTGGAAAGTTCTCTGAAATGTGCTAGTCCAAGAGGCTACATTGTTTATAGGGAGCCTCCTGACAAGCCTATGATTGGAATAATAACTGTTAACCTCCGTAACTGGAAAAATAACATTTTCAGAACTTTGAAAGCAGTGAGACAGACTCATCCCTGGGTCTTGGACAACTTCAACTTTCTCTTAACTGCGAAACATGTCTAAATGACAAATGAATTTCTAGGTTGTTAGTACTGAACATAAAGGTTTTGGCTCTGCTGTACCTGATGTGAGCTTGTGAACGAATGTAGTCATAACCCTTTTCTGTTTCCAATAAGGAAAAGCGCCATCATCAGGTGTTAGAGAATGGTCTTTGCTTTCCATTTGCTTTCTAAACAGTCATAACTTTTGCGCAGTAGCTTTAATCCACTTTAGTTGTGACACAGTGGAAACTGTTCTCTCAGTATTTTTAAAACAGCAATAGATGTCAGGTAATGTTATTCCCCAATGAATCTCTTTCTGTGGCCTCTAGTATATAACAGATATATTTATTGATCAGTTTAAAGCAGGGAAGACACCAATAACAGCAACTACTCTAAAAACTATTTCTATTACTCAGTTTTCCATTACTACAACAAAATACCTGAGGCTGGATACTACTAAGAAAAGTTTTATTTCACTTATAGCTTTGCAGTTTCAAGGGCATGACGCCAGCCAGTATCAGCTCTGCTCTGGTAAAGACCTTGTGGTGCATGGTATCTCATTAGTGGGAGAGATCACAGGGCAAGACAACAAGCTAGAGACAGAGGAGGAACAATGATGACTTCCCAGCAGACCCCACCTCTCATAGGTCCAGTGCTGTCACCACATTGGTGACTGCACTTCCATTACACGCCCTTTGGAAGACATAGTCCACCTTTTTTTTTTTTATGTCTAAGGTTTTATTGTTTAGACATTGAATATTATAGCTTAGATATTAGATATTACAGTTTAGATAGTAAATGTTAAATAAAATAAATTCAGTTAAAAGATTCAAGCTATGATGATAGCTTGAAAATGTTCTGGTCTTTTTTTTATTTAAATAAATAATTTATTGAGAATTTCATGCACACATATAAGGTGTTTTGATCAAATCCATGCCCACTCCCTCCCCTTCAACTCCTCCCATATCTCCCCATCACTTTTTTCTGATAACTTCATGTACTCTTTGTTCTTGTTTGATTTATTTGTTTATTTTTGTGGGGCTTTTGACTACTTTAACGTTCCCCCCTTCTGAAGAGGTATCCCTAAAATCTTTTACAGGCTCCCAAATACTTTTGACATTTTTGGCCTTTGGAACAGAGTATGTTACTAACAGGCCCAAGGACATTTTGGCTTTTAGCCAAGAAACTGGCTACTTTTCTTTGGGGTCTTTTTACCCTAACTGCCTAGCCAATTCCTACCTCCTATTCTTATCACACCATCTTCTGAACAGGTTACCCAAATTGCCAATAGGGAATCGGAACCCAGACCACTCTGGCTTCTTCCATGCTGAACAGGGACACGGGGTGAAGCACTTGGAGTATCCCTTCGGTGGGTCTATCTGAAAGACTCCCAAATTGCATAACTCTTATTTCTAGAGGAAAAAGAAAGTCCTTGAATCGTGACTAAGAGATGTGAAGAAGTAAAGGCAAGAGTAATTAGCATTATAAGTTCTAGAAGGGGAACTAGGAAAAAGTCAGAACATCGCAATTTTCAAATGTTCATATGAGAATCCATTGGAATTTCTTGCATAGTCCATCTCTTTAAACCATGGCACTGTCTTAACTACAAAAGAGTGCTGAGCATTTTGCTAGGCCAATTAGTACCTGTCACTTTTCTAGGTCCAGTTTTGATATGTTCAGCAGAGACTGGCATCTGGTGTGACTTAACTGGAACTGGTATAAGGCAGTGCCTATTCTCCATGCCACAAATCCATAGTGACTAGGTGTACAAGCTTTGACGTGGGCAGCTAAAGAAACACTTGGCACCATTTCTGCTGATTACTGCCCTAGTGACAAAACCAAAGATTTATCTGACTGGAGGAGAAAGCCTCCCTCTCTTCAGTTAGTGCTGGTTGTGTGTTCTTGCACATACCTGAATAGAGGTTAAGAGGTTTCGGACTAAACCCTGTGACTATTATGAGCAAATGAAACTTGAAATAGTAATTAACTTTAATCTACCAAGATGATTTTTCAGAGGAAATGGTCTCAGCAAACTTTGGCATTCTAGGGAGTGAGAAGATCCATGTGAAAGTGGGTATGCATCCTGAGCACCGCTGACACTCTGCATGTGTGTTCTGTTTCCTCCTAGATAATTAACTAGTCGATGTTATAGTGTGATCTTCCAGCTTCTGCTTTAAGCATTGCTTTGTGTGTGCTTGTGAGTACCCCAAGCACACAGTGCTCAGAAACCTGAGTTCTGCTGAAATGCTTTGCATGTTGATTAACTGATCCTGCCTTAACAATCCTGCAGCACAGGTCCATGTTCCTCAGGACTTAAAATAACCTAGAAACTGCAGATCTGAAGATTCCAGAAAACAGCTTCCACAAATAGCCTCTAGTGCTGCATCCTCGTACACAAAACATTTTATATAATAAATCAACTCTTTCATTAAATAGAGTATTGAAATGCCATAACTTGGTAACTTTAAAATGAAAAACTCATCGGATATATACTTAGAAGTCCTGATTTTGTTGTAGGTTTTTAAGAAGGCCTGGGTTTCTTTTGTTTGGGTTTGCTGGTTTTAAGAGAGAGGGTTTCACTATGTTGCCTAGGCTTGTCTCAAACTCATGGGCCCTAGCTATCCATCTGCCTCTGCATCTCAAGTACCAATAATGACAGAGATGCATCATCATACCCAGCTAAGTCTGGTTTTTAATCATCGTAAAGATCTGTGGTTTTTAGATCGCCTCTCAAGGAAGTACTAAGCCTCCTTGACAAGTTTTTTTCCTACCACAATGTGCTGTCCAGTGAGTGCACTGGATCGTTTTTCAGGGCTAGCCAACTCTGCCCCAGTGAGCACGTAAGAATGCCTTGCCTAGCAAGATAGGTTGCACCCAGAGTACTTGTAGACTAAGGCCACTGCTGCCTTTGAGGCTGAGTGTTATCTAGGCTCCTGTACCAGTACCATTGGGTTATTTGGAGCACTGGGCCAAAGACTGTTTCAGTTCTGCTTTGAGTACTTAAAAGCATGTCTGAAATTTGTGAGCATTTTTCTAACTTAGATTTTTAAATGTCATTTTCTAAAAAGAAAGTCACTTGTTCCCACCTATAAATTTGTAAAATTAAACTGCTTCCTAGGATATTTGCTTCAAGAACTTCCATGAGCTGTGAGAGCCCAGTGATACTTTATTCTTGTAACATCACATACAAAGTCAATCTGGGAATGTTGTTCTGTCCTCCACGCACTCTGTAATGTATTCTGGTTTATAGTTTGAAGTTGTGTTATCTGGTTTTGTTTATAAGCTCAGCAACAGAATTTGGGGTAGCTGACTGAATTGGAGGCTTTACTGTCATTGAAAAGGTTTAGGGACCTGGCTGAGCTGGGCAGCATTGGCTAATGATTATTGGAAGAACTGGAAGGATCTGCAACGTGGACTGTGAAGGACAATGTTAGGTCTAACAAGTAAAGTGTTACAGTGTGAGATATATGGGGTAAGCCTATGGAATGAAGGGAGTAGGGCACTGACCCAGGGAGCAGGGTGCCAGCTGGCTGCTCATGTTGAGGGAGAATGGAGACAAATTTGTTAAATGACCAGTTGGTTCTGGAGGGTTGTAGCTGGAAACAGTACTTGTAGGTGGTCCAAACTGCAAGCATGGTGGCTTTGAAGGGAAAGAAGAAGTGGGAGGCAAGCAGGGCTCCTGGAAGAAGGTAGGGTAAGCAGACAATTAGTGCAGAGATGCTGACCAGGCTCAGTGTGGGTGCAGAGCCCATGCACGGAAGAAAAGTGGCACTTGAGCTGCACACTGGCAGCGAGGATGAGATTGCCATGTGGTGAATGGTCATATAGGGCCCAGTTGTGTAGTCCTGTCTTCTGGTATGAATTTCTATTCCCTCCAATGAGACAAAGGGGAGGAGTACAGGAAACTGTTCAGCCTAACATAAAGAGTAAGAACATGGACATCTCAGTGGACTGGGCTGTTCAGTTTCTTCAGGATACTGAGCTCAGAAAGTCAGGGGCTAAAACTGATCAGCAGATGGGATGTTTGAGCATCCAGTGGCCTGCTCTCCAGAGCCTCTAAGCTGTGGTTTCTGTGGATGGTCTTCAGTGGGGAAATGCAGCCGTTCTCCAGTCTCTGATCATTTGCTTTCTGAAAAAAGAAGTGATTTCTAAGAACATTGACAGTTGACTGAGCCAAGTGAATTTACTGAAAGGTCGGTTGACTTTTCAGGGAGACAGTGAGTGAAAACCAAACTATGACACTAAAGAATAATTATGAGGCATTTTCAGACATTTCATCTGCACCCAGATAGAAGGAGTAATTTCACCACTCTAATGAAATTAATGTTCTATTTTGGCAATATTTGACAAATTCCATACATGTGTATTACTCTAGCTTTCTGTAAATTAAAATCATGTAAGATTTAGAAAATGCCATTGTCACAGACCATTGTGTTTAAAGTGTGGCCTTCAAGTCAGAGCGTACTGTTAATACAAACAGTATGCATTTGTCTATATTTTATTGTTGTTCTTTAACTGCTTCATCTTGCCTAGTAAAATTATCATCAGAAATCCAGACTCTGTAGTTAATATAAACACAGAAGATGCCTGGTGTGTCACTCCAGGGACTGTCAGAATGAAAACAGGACTGCAGGGGTCAAAGCTTTTCTAAGTATTAAGATTCCATGTACCCAGCTACAGCACAGAAAACAGCTTTTCAGAAAGTGCCAGTGGGATACTTGTCTGTGTTTCACACTCTGGAAAAACATGTCTGACTTTTTTAAATGCAGTCATCAAGAGATGAGGAGGCTGTTTTGTGAGCATCGTATAGAAAAGAAGCCATTGCAGCACTGGTTTCCCAGTCCCTTTTCTGGTTTCCAGCCTAGCATAAATTGCTCTTTTAGGGTGTATTAATTATGGATTGAACTAAAGCAGAAGTGTGGGAATCTCTAAGATGACTTTTTGAGATTAAGACAGTATTAGCATTTTTGTGGAAGGACAAAGGAAGATAGAGAGGGAGGAAGTAGAAAACTTACTCCCTCATTGTTTCATTGGAACCCATGAATGATATTGGACTAAGGAAGTTGTCCCCAGTCACCAAGGAGCTGCTTACTCAGAAGCCTTGGGATTGCTGGGCAGGTGGGATGGGCAGAGGGAGGCTGACCAGATGCAGGTGCCCAGCTAGTGGTCCCTGAAGCTCCAACAGCAGGCAGAGGCAGTGGCAGTGGCAGGTGAGTGGCCCAGGTATGTTCTGTCAGTTCCTAATTCATGACAGCGTTATAGAAGACACTGATCCTTGATGCCTTTAAATCAGATAACTCCTGAACCACCCGTTTGCATGACTTCTGCCGGTTTCTCAGTAATTAGCGTCATATATAACTGTCCATGCTATCGGGGGAAAAGATTAGAAAAGAAAAAATTAAATAGTTGCTGTGGTCTCTCTAATTGAATCTTGATTAATTTTTTAGTGTTTTGCTTCATTTTTCTATATTTTCTAATTTGTTTTTCTGTGGTTACTATTTAATGTTTTTGTTGAAAAGTGCATATTTCCATCTAAAAAAATATCAGAACATTATCTTGAAAATCAGGTGAGGGGTCGGGAAGATAGTTCAGTGGGTAAAAGCTTGCTGTACAAGCATGAGGACCTGAGTTCAATCCCTAGCACTCCCATGAAAAGCCAGACATAGTCACATGCACCTGTAACCCCTGTACTTTTGGGAGCAAAGATAGGAGGATCAACAGGTTTATTGGCTCCCAGTCCAGCTGGAAAAAGACAAACAACAAAAAAAACCCATGAACTCAAGGGAATAAGGCAAATAGTGAAGAAGAGAGCACTGACACCTTTGGCTGTGCCCGTGGGTGTGTACCCCTACATACACCCCCCATATATATATAGTGAAGAGGAGAGCACTGACACCTTTGGCTGTGCCCGTGGGTGTGTACCCCTACATACACCCCCCATATATATATAGTGAAGAGGAGAGCACTGACACCTTTGGCTGTGCCCGCAGGTGTGTACACCTATATACACCCCCCCATATATATATAGTGAAGAGGAGAGCACTGACACCTTTGGCTGTGC